AGCAGAAGAGAGTGAAGTTTGGCATCACTATACATAATACAAAAGGTATTATAGATTATACTCACTCAGATGTATGGGGTCCTTCAAAGACATCGTCTTTGGGGGAAAACCATTATTTTGTAACTTTTGTAGATGACTTTTCCAGAAGAGTTTGGGTGTATCCGATGAAGTCTAAAGATGAAGTGCTTCAAATTTTCCTGAAATGGAAAAATATGATCTAGAACCAGACTGGTAGAAAGATCAAACGTCTTAGGACGGACAATGGAGGGGAATATAAAAGTGACCCATTCTTTAACGTTTGCCATGAGTATGGTATTGTTCGATACTTTACTGTTAGACATACACCACAACAGAATGGGGTGGCAGAGCGTATGAATCGAACACTATTGGAGAAAGTTCGATGTATGTTGTCTAATGCTGGGTTAGGCAAGGCATCTTGGGCTGAGGCTGTGACATATGCTGGCCATCTCATTAATCGTCTGCCGTCATCAGCGATAGGAGGAAAAACACCATTGGAGGTATGGTCTGGAAAACCTGCTACTGATTATGATTTCTTACATGTATTTGGATCCACTGCTTATTATCATGTGAAGGAATCCAAGCTTGATCCGAGAGCAAAGAAGGCTCTCTTTATGGGAATCACCCATGGAGTGAAGGGATTCCGTCTTTGGTGTTTAGACACCAAGAAGATAATTTGTAGTAGAGATGCTACCTTTGATGAATCTGCCCTAGTAAAGAAGGTAACAAGTGAAGCTGTCCAGACAAGTAGTACTCCGCAGCAGGTGGAGCATACTCTAAAACAGGTGGAGTTTCAGCAGATGATGATCCCAGAAGTTGATGCAACTGATTCTTCAACTCCAATAGAAGAATCAGAAGATGAAGAGGTTCAAACCCAAGAACCATTGGAGACACCAGAAATACTTGCAATTACAAGGCCAAGGAGAGAAATTCGTAGACCTGCTCGATTTGTTGATATGGTGGCCTATGCTCTTCCAGTTGTTGATGATGATATCCCTATCACTTACCAAGAAGCAATACAAAGCTTGGAAAGTGATAAGTGGAAAAGTGCCATGGATGAAGAAATACAATCTCTCCAAAAGAACGACACTTGGAAACTGGCACAATTACCGAAAGGTAAAAGAGCCATTGGATGCAAGTGGGTATTTGTAAAGAAAGATGGATCTCATAACAAGAAAGATGTTCGCTACAAGGCACGGTTGGTAGCTAAAGGCTACGCTCAAAAGGAGGGAATCAACTACAATGAAGTATTTTCCCCTGTTGTGAAGCATTCCTCCATTAGAATATTGTTGGACTTGGTAGCACAGTTGAATTTGGAGCTAGCTCAACTTGATGTAAAGACGGCTTTCTTGCACGGTATTTAGAAGAGGAGATCTATATGACACAGCCAGAAGGATACAAAGATGGTGGTTGTGAGAAATGGGTTTGTAAGCTGAACAAATCGCTATATGGATTGAAGCAATCTCCGAGGCAGTGGTACAAGCGATTTGATAGCTTTATGAGGAGGCAAAAGTATACTAGAAGCAAATATGATCATTGTGTGTATTTGCAAAAGCTCAAAGATGGATCTTTCATTTATCTTCTCTTGTACGTTGACGATATGTTGATCGCTTCGAAGAGTCAAAAGGAGATAAACAAATTAAAGGCTCAGTTGAATCAAGAGTTTGAGATGAAAGATCTAGGTAAGGCCAAGAAGATTCTTGGTATGGAGATAAGAAGAGATAGATAGAGAGGGAAGCTTTATTTAACACAGAAGCAGTATCTGAGAAAGGTATTACAATGTTTTGGCATTATGAAAATACCAAACATGTAAGTATCCCATTGGCTTCTCATTTGAAACTTAGTTCTCAATTATCTCCTAAAACTAACGAAGAACGAGTGTATATGGCAAAAGTTCCATATGCTAATGCAGTTGGGAGCTTGATGTATGCAATGGTGTGTACGCGTCCTGACATTTCACAAGCAGTTGGAGTTGTGAGCAGGTACATGCATGATCCTGGAGAAGGACATTGGCAAGCTGTGAAATGGATTCTACGGTATCTCCAACAAACCGTGGATGTTGGTTTAGTTTTTGAACAGGATGAAGCACTTGGTCAGTGTATGGTTGGATATGTTGATTCCGATTATGCTGGTGATTTGGATAAGCGTCGATCAACTACTGGGTATTTGTTTACTCTTGCTAAAGCCCCAGTAAGTTGGAAGTCTACATTGCAATCTACGGTGGCCTTGTCTACTTCAGAGGCAGAATACATGGCAGTTTCAGAGGCTGTAAAGGAAGCAATTTGGCTTAACGGGTTGATGAAAGACTTGGGAGTTGTTCAAAGTCACATTAGTCTCTATTGTGACAGTCAGAGCGCTATTCACTTAGCGAAAAATCAAGTCTACCATTCAAGGACTAAGCATATCGACGTGAGGTATCACTTTGTGCGGGAGATCTTTGAAGAAGGAAAGATTCTACTTTAGAAAATTGCGACATCAGAAAATCCTGCAGATATGATGACCAAGGTGGTAACAGTAATCAAGTTCAATCATTGTTTGAACTTGATTAACATCCTGAAAGTATGAAAACCTTCGGGTGTGTGGAGCTTGTGAGCGCAATTAGAGGCACTACAAATTTGGGGAGTTGAAGAAGTTTAGTAGGCTTGGTAATTTCAAGCCAAGGTGGAGATTTGTTAGATTTGTCTAGAAATTAAGTTGACAAGTTGGAAATTTCATCTTGGTTGGTGGCCAACTTATTGGAAATTTCATTTTGGTTGGTGGCCAAACTTTGAACATGTGAATTTCATATTTGGTGGCTAACTTGTACACATTGGAAAATTCTTTGGTAGTTGGCCAAACTTTGAACATATTGTTCTTGAAACTCAACTATAAATAGGCCTAAGTATTTCCATTTGAAATCATCCCAAAAACAAGTTCTCTCTTCCTCTTGTATTCTTCATTCTCCTACTTTGGGAATTCCAAAGAATTCCATTTGTTGTAATATTGGCGATATAGTGAAGTTATCATCCGGTGTGGTACCCGAGGAGTAGACGATATTCTCGTCGAACCTTGTAAATTTAGTGTGTTCTCTCCTTTACTGTTTTTTATTCGGTTCTTTTCCATTGTGTTTCAATATTCAATAGTTTGACAGATTTATCCGCTGTGCAACCTTTGGTAGTTTTAATCTTGACATTTTAGGTCAATTTTAAAACTACGTTCGTGTGGGAAATAACTCGTTTTCCCCAACAGGATATTCCTTAACTTCACTCTAATATAACTAATCAAAAGCAAATTTTTAACAACCATTAGGAATCAGTTCTGGTCTAGTATTACTCTCCACCTCTCCTTTATATTAGCAAAATATCACCAACTAGATCCAGAATCATACTGATCCCATTAAGATATGATACCGGGTATTTTCCCCAGCCAGGAAAGAACTCAGCCAAGCACAAAACCTGGAGGAAAAAACTAGAAAATGAGAGATGGGGGAGGCTCAGATTCGCCTTTTGTCAGACAAGTAAAGAAACAAAGCCGGTGGCTGCAACAAAAAGAGTTGCCCCGCCAAGCTACGACCTTTTCCCTTCAAAAGTCTGAACTTTAATAACAAAAAAATCATCATTGCCTCATTGCGTCGAGGGTTTTGAATGATGATGATGAACAAGAAGAAGAAGAAACAATATTAGCACAACGAGATGCTGAAGCGACGATGACGACGATGGAGATTGCGAATCGGATGTACTAGAGTACATAGACAGAGAGAGACAAAGGGTTGTTGTAGATAAACATCTGTAAGTGAAAGTGAAATCATAGGCTTCGCTTATCAATCAGAGGAGGGGAGCAACCACCCTTTAGAAAAACCAGCCACCTTCTTGAGAGCAAAGCCTCATCTTAAACTAATGAGAGAGCTTTTGCATACCTTCATGTCTCTGCTTATCTTTGCCTTTTATAATGGTTGAATGACCAAAAAGGATTAGGTAAACTATGCATTTAGTAACTAAATTATCAATTTTAATCCGTTTTCGTACCTAAACTTTCAATTTTTTTAAAATCATACCTAACATTTAGTTTTTATTTCATTATAGCACCAGTCGTTAACAACTTAACGCGTTTAGTACCTAAACTATCAATTTTGATATGTTTTAATACCTAAACTTTCGATTTTTTGAAACTTAACATTAAATTTTGAATGGGGTACTAAAATGAAACAAAACTAAAGTTTTTAATGGTGGGTACTAAAATGAAGCAAAGCTAAACTTTAGGTATGGTTTTGAAAAATTAAAATTTTAAGTACTAAAACGGATCAAAAAATGATAGCTTAGATGCTAAACGTGTAATTTACCCAAAAGGATTAAAGAGTGAAACTTTAGTCATTTAAAAGCCCATACACCGTTAGACTTTATGTTCATCCGATTTTCATCTTCAGAAGTTTCCTTTTAAGGATTCGTCATCTTATTTGGTTTGAAAACATGTATTGGAAGAAAAAAAATCCGATTATTAACTGAATCTTAATTCGATTAGTATTGTTGTTAAAGGCTGCGAGTTGAAGCCTAATTTAAGTGCATCAACCTTCTATTTGTAGGGATTGAGGAATTATGAATTTTAACGGCAAAAACCGAAATGCCTTGAAAAGCTTATAACTATAGAAGTTGTGCCAACTAAATGCTAAATAAAACTCTAATCTACATGAACCAGAGAAAAAAAAATGGAATCATTCAAATTTGATACTTATGTTTCACCCTCCACAATATAAGTTAATGTTTTGTACTAGTTTACTACATTTAAGAGAGTATCTAGTAGAAACCTTATTTGGGCCAATTTGTCACAACTCGAAAGTATAGAATGTTATTCCAACACACCGTATATATCTGCGAGCATCAACATTTGTTGGCAGTGCCATGAATGGACATGAAGGATGCACGGCTAAAGCTTTCTCAAAGATAAGATAACCAGCCGAATTTGGGTGACCATGAGATGAGTGATGGTCGAACATATCGACCAGTGTAGCTTTACTTCGCCTGATTCATGCAATATCCGCACGATCAAGCATGTCTACCAAAGTCATCCTTCTGGGAAACCTAGGTGGCAACCTCAAATTCAAGGCATCTTCAATCTGAATAGGGAGATGCGTTGCAACAATAACAATACCACCTTTCTTTCGATGCTCTGCGATAATGTATTCTAGCAACCTTACCCCTTCCTCATCTAGTGCGACTGAAGGCTCATCTAGTAGCCAAATCAGCCTATCGAAGTCAAGCAACCTAGCAAGCTGCAGCCTCTTTCGTTGCCCCATCGAAAGCATTCTTGCCTTATCTTTTGCCAGTCTTCCTAGACCCATGAGTTCCAGGGAAGACATGGACTTGCCATGCTTACCTTCAAGAACCTCGAACCATTGAACATTGTCAAGGACTGTGAACTTTTCTTTCACTGCATCCTTGAGGGAAAGCCAATTCAGTTGAAGCTTGTATTGGTGGAATATGCCTGACTGAGTAATGTCGTGGCCGTTCCAAAGAATCTGACCAGCTGAAGGTTTAGAGAACCCCGCTAACATTCGCAGGAAAGTAGTCTTGCCGGAGCCATTGCTGCCTGTCAACACGAGTGCTCCACCATCATGAACCGAGACATTGACGTGTCGCAATATTTGTTGTGCATTTCTCATGCAAGAGACGTTGTCAAGAAGAATTCTAGGGAGTGGTGGCTTCCGCAGAGCCATTGAAGTTGAAGAAGAATATTATCCCCGGGTTCAGGGATGTTGCAATCGACCTGCAAAGTGTATGAACTTTAGCAACACAACCCAAATGCCATGATTTTCATATAAAACAAAACCGATTTAAGAACAGTACAAAAGAGAAAATGAAAGCAGCCAACGCTTCTCATCTCTATGTTGAAACTGCCTACAAGACGAAAAACAAAGGTACACAGTGTTTTGAATTCAGTAACGAAAAGCATCAAACACTTAAAAGGCAATCCCTTTGTCCATTATTGAGCTACTGAAAATGCATTGAAAACTGAAATAAACACTAACCAGGCAAGCCAAACAACTGCCCATACTAAAATAAGCATGAATAATCCAATCTTTCATAGCAAAGTGACAAACAGACATGTTTGCCATGGAGGAGTGCACCGGGCTGCTGAGCTTGATTAAAGATAATGAACTTCTATGTTCAATGCACAGAACTAAACTCCACAGAAACCAATCCAACCAAAATTAGCAATCTTGATAGAAAGTTACCGCTGAGAGAAATGGAAGAAAATTGACAGTTGATTCTCCTCTTCGAAAGATTTTCCCGCCACCCGACGGCGATCTAGTTTTTGAGAATGTAGATGGTCGGCGTTAAATTCAGCTTTAACAACTTCAACTTAACTGGGCTTTATAAACCCAAACAAAAGAAGAATAATATAAGCCCAAGAGACCCACTAGAGTATTGGAAAATAGGGCTGCGTTTATAAAGTCTTTCGCTTAACCCTTTTCCATTCCTGCGCCAACAGCTGCTGCATATTATCTCTCCAGGGTTCGCCGCTCTTCATGTTCCTTTTGCTTTACTTTCAGTATTAGCTTAGCTAAAAGATCCATTTTCTTAACACTGTTTTCGTTTTTCTCTTTTTGCTAACAAGAAACAGTACATCCGGTTCCAACTTCAGCTCAAAAAAATGTCAGGGTAAGTGAAAATTCATTCCTTTACCGTGGCCATGTCAGAAGAATTTGATCTTCTTGTTGCGTTTGTTTTGATTTCTCTATATAAATTCAAGCTGCTTGCATTTTCATTATGTAGGCTCTGTGTTTAGTTTGCTTCACTGTTGCATGTTAATATGGATTGCTTGAATTGTTCTCTGTTATTCCAGATGTGTTCTTTCTTTGAAAGTTTTCATCTTTATTTTGATACCTTTTTTTGTCATGTTTGTATGTTTTTATGCGGAATTCGTGCCGGTTGCTTCTTGCAGGGAAGAAGTTGCCGTTGCTCAACCCGAGGCAGCGCCCGCTCTGGGTGAGCCAATGGACATCAACACAGCCTTGCCCCTTGTGGTGAGGAAGTCACAGGCTCACGGCGGTCTTGCACGCGGCCTACACGAAGCTGCAAAGGCAATCGAAAAGCACAATGCTCATCTTTGCATTATAGCTGATGACTGTGACCAACCGGATTATGTTAAGCTGGTCAAGGCCCTCTGTGCTGATCACAACGTCAAATTGCTACATGCGCCGAGTTCAAAAACTCTTGGCGAGTGGGCCGGTGTAAGTGGCATTTCATTGCTTGTATTCGTTTGAATTATCTCCTTGCATTCAAGACGAGCTAACTTTGTTTAATCTCTATGTGAAGTTGTGTAAGATAGACTCCGAGGGGAAAGCACGGAAGGTTGTCGGTTGCTCCTGCGTAGTTGTGAAGGTATGCATAATGTACATGGAACCACAGTATAGTTTACTTCAAAATACATTCGATTCGTCAACCTGTTTTGTTTCGTTTAAGCATATTTTCGTTTTCGATCGACCCTACTGCCAAGCAATATCTAGAGAACACAGAATGAAAGTTCTTCCGTAGTTAGTTTCGTGAATCATTGTTCTCTTTCTCACTGCAGGATTACGGTGAACAACATGAAGCTGTGGAAGTTGTCCAGCAGCAGAAGGACTAAGCAGCAGCGATTAGAGGACGGTTTCTTCAGTAACATTAGAGTTAATATTTCTGGATTATCTATGATTTTCGATAGTAGACGATGGACTAATATGTCGGAGAATTTTCTATTTTCGAGGTTGTCTCAATGTCCGTCTGCTTGTTGTTTCTTAAGTATGCTTCTGAATTTATCTCCCTCCAAGTACTTGATGACAGTTTGAGTTTTGCTTGTTTAGAGTTTGGGTTTGAAATTCGGATCAAATTTGGTCGAATTTTTTATGATGGGAGCGAAGTAAATTGAATTGAGAGAATCGTTATCGTAATAAATCTTAATAGAACGTGATCTAATTTACTTGATCAATAGATTAAATATCAATATTTAAATTAAAAGAATTAGATTTATGCTAATATTTTTTTAGAAAGGGGTCAATTATTGTTAATATTAAATTGTACATTAAATGTAAGAATCAATATAAGAAAGCAAATCTTAGAGAGTTCACTGTATATGGTTTTTATAATGTTTAAAAAGCTTGTCCTTCCCCTCTTTTTATGTATATGGTGGTGTTATATATATATATGTATATGAAGTTTATGCTTCAAAACTTAAAATAAATGTGATAAAAATAATAATTTTATATGATCATTAATATTTAATTTATTGATTAATTAATTTAAATTACATATTGTAATAATATGTTATAAGATATATTTTTATTTAATTTTAATCTCTTTACAATGTCGATTTGAATTCTTTATATATATATATATATTTAAAAATATGCTATACTAATAAATATTTAGTAGTAAAAATATATAACAGAATAATAATAGAATAGTGAATAAGAGGAATGGCTAATCCTTTGCCCTTGATTCGCAGGAGTGAAACAACGGATCAAATTGCGTAAAGAAATAGAGAAAATAAAATTTGAGCTAATAGTAATATTTGAGTAATTTGTTGTTAATAAATTTTAAAATTATTGTTTTCTTTTATTCAGTTTACATTAGAAATCTCAAAATATTAGAATTAGTATGGAAATATAAAAAACTAAGGGTAAACTAAATATTTAATACCTAAATTATCAGTTTTGATATGTTTTAGTACCTAAACTTTTAATGTTTTCAAAATCATACCTAACGTTTAGTTTTTATTGTTTTTAGTACCCACCGTTAAAAACTAAACGTGTTTAGTACCTAAACTATCAATTTTGATCTGTTATAGTTCCTAAACTTTCAATTTTTTTAAAATTTAACGTTAAAATTTGAACATGGGTACTAAAATTAATCAAAAACTAAATTTTAGGTATGATTTTGAAACAACTGAAAGTTTAGGTGATAAAATAAATTAAAATTGATAATTTAGGTACTAAACGCGTAATTTACACAAAATTTAAACAGATAGTTTTAAAAATCTAGAAAAAAGATCAAACTGAACCAAATAGTGGGTGCGATGACACTAGTGATAATGCACCAAATCTCACCACAACTCCGCAATTAACCGTGTTTAGGCGAGAGTAGTACTTGGATGGGTGATCTACTAGAAAGTCCTCGTGTCGCACCCCTTATTTAGGGTCTTGCAACTATGTGGGCGGATGTTAGAAATCATGTTTCTTGGTGTATCAACAACGGTAAGTTAGTTGATTTTTGGTTTGATGCATGACATGATGATTGTGGCCCTTTGATAGATTATGTGATGGCGGCTGGAGCCATTGATATGCATCGGATTACCATAGTTGATACTTGATACGACGGATGGTAATGGGAATTGGTGATGGTTTTAATTTGAACATTTTCATTCATCGGATATTTTGTTGCGTATCGCTGCAAAAAAGGGCCCTCTGGGTCACCTTGCAGACGACTCGATTGGCTGGAGCCTTAATGCTGATTATCGCTTCTCTATTAAGTCGGCGTATGAGTTCCATACTGCTGAACCATATAGTGCTTTGAATAATGTTTGGGTGATGATTAGTGAATTTCAAGGTCTACAAAAAATAAAACTCTTTTTATGGCTTTGTTGTACTGAGAGCGTTTTAACAAATGCGGAGACCGTTGATCATCTGCTGCACCGCTGTTCTTCGGTTACTTTTATTTGGTCTGCATTTGGTCGGGGTAATAAACTTGCCGAGTATTTGGATATGAATCTACATGAGTGGATTCTTTTGACTTTGGGAGGTACGACTGATTTTGTCGGTGATAGGAATGGTTGGGATATTTTCTTTGGTGCTCTTGTTTGGAATATTTGGTTACACCGGAACTCTATTGCTTTTGACTCTCCTCACGATGATAACCAGTCGGTGATCGAACAGAGTAAAGCTGTTTAGGAGTTCAGGCTTCTTGTTGAACAGATTCTCAAACGGTGACACCCCTTCAAGCACCTTTGTAGGTAGACGATTGATGAGATGAACATAAGCCACCATTGCATATGACCAATATCGAATGGGCAAGGACGCCTGAGCCAACAAAACAGACCAAACTCAATTATATGGCGGTATTTTCGTTCAACAACGCCGTTCTGCTCCGATGTGTGAGGACAGGACAAACAATGTACTATCTCAGCCTTGACAACAACTTTGGTCGATACTCCAAATTGATTTACTACAAACTTATGAAACAACTGAAACACTGATAGACCTTGTGCCTTATTTTTGAGAAGATAAATCCATGTAAAACGAGTAAACGCGTCCACAAACAAAATATAGTAACAGAAACCATTAGATGCAATGTGAGGATGTCCCCATAAATCTAAGAAAATATGTTCAAAAGGAGCAGAATACTGAGTATTGGATGGAGAAAAAGACAATATGTGACTCTTTCCCATAAAGCAAGCCACACAAGTTTTATTAATATCAAAATCAAACTTTACATATATTTCCTTAGTTATTTTATCTAAAGCATAGTGAGCTGGATACCCTAAACGACGATGCCAAAGCTCAAATTGAGACATATCAGCTCACACAAGATGAGCAGTAGCACCAAGCCATTCTTCACATTTACAACCAAATGTAAAAGTATACATGCTACCCTTCTCTTCACCTCGCAGTAGGACCTCTTTAGAAGATTCATCTCGAACATAACACTTCTCAGCATGGAACTCAAAATAAACGGAATTATCTCTAGCAAGCTTAGAAAGCAAATTCTTTGTTATACGAGGCACATGTAATAAATCATTCAATAGCAAGGTTCTTGAAGAAGAAGCCACAACTGAATTACCAATAGTATGAATATCAAGGGAAACTCCATTTCCCACATTAAGTTTACCTAAGCCTCTAAACTCAACAGGGTTTGAGACATTGACAACATAAGGAGTAATGTGGTGCGTTGATCCCAAATCTACTACCTAGTGATTGGCTGATTTAGAAACCACATTAACTTATGGTTGATCTGCTGCTTGAGAACATCCTTTACAACACTCACAACCAATGTTAGAAGTTTCAGGAACGAAATAATGAGTATTAGTAGACTGACCTTTGTGAGATCGAGTATCAGAGGTAACACGCATGAAATCTTCATCATAACGGTGCCAACAACGATCAACCAGGTGACCAAGTTTGCCACAAACCTGACATTGTATCCGAGCTCTTTCTTGACCTCGACTTCCAGACCGGAGTACTAAAGGCGAGCGTGAGGATTTGGAATCACACCGACCACTATTAGAGGAATCAATAACCACCTCATGCTGAGCAACATTGGCACTTATAGGAATAGAGTCTAATGATTCATCAAAATTGGCTAACTGAGCCTCATCATCTAAAAGAACCATATAAAGACTTTCCAAGGAGAGAGTTTCCTTCGTCGTTGTGATAACCATCATAAACGGTTGATATTCTCTGGGCAGCCCTTTCAAAATGCTTACAACATTACAAGCGTGCGAGACTGCACTACCACACGAAGCAAGCGCATCGCACACTTCTTTCACTCGAGTAAAATAAACACGCATTATGTCATTCCCTTTCTTAAGCGATTGCAGCTTACAATGCAAACTCATATCAGCAGTTGTAGATCTGTTAGCAAATAGTTTTTGCATCGTATTCCACACTGCGCAACCGAGTCAACACCCACAAACTAAGGAAGAAGACGAATACTGATAGTGGAAAAAAGCCACGATGCAAGCGCACTGTCCCGCACCAAAAAAATCTTCAAAAGCATAATTAACATTTACCTCGTCCTGATCATCAAGAACCGTCTCCGGTGGTGGCTTCAAAGCTGCAGTCAATAACTGTTCCAGGCGATTACTACGGACAGTAAGCAGAATATGCTATTTCCATAGCAAGAAATTCATTTCGTCGAGAACGACATTAACTTTCTTATGCGAGAAGCCCTTGGACTACTCCATAACCAACGAATAAGAATGAGCAGCAACGAAAGCTTAGAAAGGAAACCCAAGACCTACGATGAAAAATACCATATTAGAAAGCACAACTAATATAGAATTCAGAGAAATGATAGTTTAAGATATTTTAGGGAAAATGTTTATTTTATCCTACGACGAAACAAAAGGATAGTTAATGAATCAATTTATTTAACCATACATACCATACGATGAAATTCTAGATTTACTAAGAACATTTCCTTTTTTTACCCTAATGTCTCTATTTTTTCTTCTCTCTAAGTAAGATTAAGATTAAATTTAAAATTTATATAAAAAGCTCTTTTAAAGGCCTAACTATATGTTTTAATCTATATATTCTATCATTTTAGAATTTAAAATTTAAAATTTGTTCAATTTAATTTTCACCAATTTGGTAGACCAGTGACACATGACATCATTTGATTTGAGGGTTAAGTTTATTTTAATTTTTTAAAATTAGGATCAATTTGATAGAATATGTAAGTAACAGTGACCAAATGTGTAATTATACCACATAATTTAATTACCACATCAACTTCTTTGTTAAATATTAATGATAAGTGACTTAATTGAATGCATTCAAATAATTGAGTGACTTGATTGACAAAATTTCAAAAATAGTGGTCAAAAGGAGCAATAGTTAGGTGTCATTGGTATAATTTATCTTTATTTTAAATAATTCACCTTTAAATTTTTAAATAATTTATAATTATATGTTGAATACTTTAGAAATTTAATTTTTTTATAAATTAAATTAATGATGCTCATCATTAGTGTTTGTCAAACGTGGCAGAATCATCCATAAATATATACAAGTTTTTTTATTAATTTTCTCGAGCACCTTCATGCTCATTTCAGTACATCAAGATCTTTTTTCTTTTTATAAAGCAATTTTTTTAACCTTAAATTATATGGTATTATTGAAGCCGAGATGCTCTAGATTATAGAAGGGGTTGAGCTGTATATGGGGATTTATCGAGGAAACTCTTGTAGAAGTGGGCCTCCCGGATCGTTTTGTTAGGTGGATTATGAGATGCGTTACATCAGTTCCTACACAGATTTTGTGGAACGGCAGCACTTCGGAGAGCTTTACCCCTTCTAGGGGTATTCGTCAAGGAGATCCCATATCTCCCTATATATTTGTTCTTTGTATGGAACGGTTATCCCATGCAATCAATATGCGGGTTGAGAACGGAACGTGGAGACAAATTCGCATATCGCATTTGTTCTTCGCGATGACGAGATCCTTTTTTCGGAAGCCTCTCTTGATCAAGTTATGGCTATTAAAGATGTTATGGAGAACTTTTATGCTAGCTCTGGTCATCGTGTAAGTGAAGGGAAAACGAAAGTTTTTTTCTCTAAGAATTATGGTGTGGAGATGAGTAATGTGATTACTCAGAACCTTGGATTTGAAGCTGTTCAAGACCTGGGGAAATATTTGGGAGTGCCATTGCTACACAAAAGAGTGACGAAGGCGACTTTTAGATATATGATTGAAAGGGTGGAGCAGCGCTTAACCGGTTGGGCTGCTAGGACTTTACCGCTAGCTGGGCGTATAACTCTTGCGAAAGCCGTTTTGCAAGCAATTCCATCCTATGCTATGCAACCGACTTGGCTCCCAAAAGGAGTGTGCGATACTATTGAGAAGTTGATTCGGCGATTCGTGTGGAATGCGAAAGAAGGGGAAATAGTTTGGCGCTTGTGAAGTGGGACACAGTGAAACTCCCGGTTCAAAACGGTGGTCTAGGTATAAAGGATTTAGAAAGGCAGAACCAGGCTTTCCTAATGAAGATCGGGATGCAATTGATTGAGGGAGCGGATAAGTTGTGGGTGAAGGTAATCAAGAGTAAGTACCGTTGGAGTGATCAAAGTCCAGTCGATATATCGAAGCCGATATGCTCTAGATTATGAAAGGGGTTGAGCTGCATAGGGGGAGTTACGGTAAAGTATATTATGGAATATTCACAACAGTGCTACAACGGATTTCTGGTACGATTCATGGATTGATGGATCGGAACCGCTTGCTATTCATGCGTGAATGGCATCATCCCTCAATCGATAGCTGTTAATGCAATGACGGCTCCTTCTAGGGAATGGAATTGGTTTTATATTCGGAAGGTGTTACCGAACCAAAGTTGCGAATGTAATGACGCTCCGATATGGAAGTGGGAGATGACTCACGCGTTTTCGGTTCACTTGGCGTATGAGGCTCTGTCTCCTTTAGAGTCGAATGATACTAACGATGTTTGGCGACTTGTTTGGAGTGTTAATGTTCCGCAAAGGCTCAAAGTCTTTCTTTGAGTGGCACTTCATGGGCGGTTGTTGACTAACGTGGAAAGACATAGACGACACATTGCTGGTTCGGCAACGTCTGATATATGTCGGACTGAAGAGGAGGACATAAGTCATGCGTTATGCCGCTGTCCTTTTGCCTTCGATATTTGCGTCGGCTTATCCTCTCTGAAAAGCTGCAAGATTTCATACAGATGTCGTGGAAGGAGTGGATTGTTACGAACATTCAGGAGAGCAAGGTTTTTTATTAGTAGTCGGAATTGTGGTCTGTTATTTCTTGTTATCTGCTGGAAAATTTGAAAGTGTCGCTACTGTGTTATTTTCCAGAGTGAACCTGTTGAGCATGAAGATTTTCTGCCGCATTGTTTTCAGTTACGTGATGAATTTCTGGAAGCAGTCGGCTACAATAGGTTCCTGATCGTTGGAGGAAATCGGATTATAGCTGGGTGAAAATCAATGCTGACGGCGCTATGGAAGGACAGCCGCAGATTGGCAGCAACTGGCTGGTCATACGAGATGCTCAGGGTACTTGGTTTCAGGGATTTTCACGAAGCTTAGGAAGTTGCACAGTGTTGAATGCTGAATTATGGTCTCTCCATGACTCACTTTTGCTTGCATGGAATATGGGATTTAGGAAGGTGGAGGTCGAGACGGATTACAAGACGGCCTTTGAGATTATCACAACACCGATGAACGATAGTGAGGATAGTGCCATCGTTACACTGGTAAGAGGATTATTTCGTCGCACTTGGGAAACGAAGATTGCCCATGTTAATAGGATAGCTGATATGGTTGCGGATAAGTTTACTACCATGGCGCGAGGAAGAAGTATTGGGTTGGTAGTTCATACCGCCTCTGACTGAGGTGACTGATCTACTGTTGAGGGATTGTGAGTTAATAGCTTGAATTTGTTTAGTTCTGTATTATAGAGAAAAAAATTATCAATGACGAAAATATTTCCCTTTAAAAAATAAAATAAATAAATGTTGAAAGGAGCAAGAAAATGAGAACCACGCAGTGATGATTCAATGAATTGAAGAGACGAAACAATTAAACAAACCATTCAATTGATCACACACTTCACCATTTTTGGCATAATTTTATTACATTATTTTTTTGGATTAACTACACATATGATCACTTATGTTTGTTTTTTTCCTCTTTTGGTCATTAATTTCAAAAAACATAACATATGACTACTTCCGTTTTTATTTAATTAAGATATGATCACTTTCGTTTTTATTTAATTAAGATGTGGTCATCCCGAGTTAACTGCAGCTAACAACAATTAAATATAATATATTAAGATTTTATTTTAAAAAAAAATAAATTATTAATAATATTAACATTTATGTGTTGAGTTTTTTTTAAAAATATAATATAAGATTTTCATGTATTTAAGGTTCAGGTTCGAGTTTGACATTTCAATCAAGTTAAATTTAAGATTTTGTTTTCATTTCGAGCTTTTTTTTTTGAGTTTTTACGAGCTCCAGATCATGATTTCAAGTTGAGCTTGAAAATTTTAGGCTCATGAGTCTTCGAGTCGAATCGAGCTCAACAATACTCACTCGAACTCGACTTTAAAAGTATTAGAAAATATATAACTTGCCTCTTCTGTAGAGTTCACAACATTATGGTGGGATTGGGATGACTTAATTCCAGTTTAAAGATTGGTTACTTTTTGTAGTTGTTGGTTAACTGCTACGTTAGGCAATGAACACTATGAAATGGTAGTTAAGTAGTGTACTAAAAAAGAAGATTCCAGTAGTAATGGATTTTGGGTGGTTGGGCTAGAACTTGTAGGATAATATTCAGGAAGAAGAACAAATGCCTATGTAGCCATTGATGTCCCATCATGATTGTGTGATAAAAAGGGTTCCAAGAAGCCATGGATGATAAGCAATTGGTAGTCATCAGTATGGATTGTTGTCCACAAAATAGGCTGCTAGTGGAGAGCAAGAGACAACCAGTCAAAGAGCAGAAAGAGTGAACTTTGCAGCAAATGTCAAATTCATTTCCATTGGGAGAGGCTGGGTCTTTTCATGTGATCTCTTTCACTTTATTGGTTTGATTTTCAGGGTCCGAGCCAATGGCCAATCGAGAGTCAAAAGAGGTGCTTCTCATTCTCTCTCTTTTTAGTTTTCTCCATTAAACTCCATCAGACAATGTCGACGACAGTACCTAAACAACGTTCCATGGAATTGGGGTCAGATGAAGACAATAATGGCACTGTGCCATGTAGACGAGGAGGGGATGAGAAGCTACCCCAGAAGAATGTTGCCCAATTCCATTTCTCAAGAGAGTAATAATGGCTTGATATTTTTAAGACCTTGGGGTCCATTGCCCTTCTTTTTTTGGTTCTTCCTTATCTGTTAGCCATCACTTTCGGTTTCACCAAGTGTTCATTCCTGTGCTGAAATCATTATGTTTCAACATATTCCCTATTCCAACAGAAGAAAGCAAATATAGAGGAAATGAACTCTGTGGATGGACCAGCTGGTTCATGAATGACCAAAGACTAGTAAATGCAGAAGGTGGGGTTTGTTATGGTGGGTGCTTATCAATTATCGTCAGTTGATTTTGTGTACCAGAGATTAGGATTGCATCGAATCGGAACTCATCTAGAACTAAAAGTAGTTAGCCACTAACCTAACTTCAGGCAAAGCATAAGCTCATGAAGCTATCAAATGTTTGATACCTGTAAGATAATCAAGCATAAGCTCGAACACCATCAGCACCATCGGCACAAATTTGACCGGTGCTCAAACTCCAAGATCTTGCTAGAGTCAATAGTGCTGGTACTCCGTCTGGCCTTGGTGTCCAAGGAACATTGGCAACAGCTAGACTTCGGTGTCCGATATCCAAGTCTTTAAGAATAGTTACACGGATCAATTAAACCAACTTCACAATGAGCAGACACTTCACAAACTAAGAACCCTAGCAATCAATTTCATTTCTTTGAAATAGCAAGCAAACTATACATACAAAACATAACTTTAAATATCACCCTCAAATCTTTTTGCCTAAACCTATAATATTTGCTGCAACTATGAGTTGATCCTCCATGTCCAACTACCTCATAACTTAAATGACCATTAAAGCACTGCTCCAGCAATGAAACTATGACCTGAATCATATAACCGGCACTGGCGGAGTTTCCCATATGTCAAACACATTATCCTCGCTATGAAGTGCAAAGAGCCGATCACCGCCTATCGAGAAATCACATATCGAACCGCCATAACTCCTTCGAAGCCTAGATGTCAAGACCCAATCAGGTCCACAAAACACCGAGATGCAATCGTTCATTGACGAAAACAACTGCCCATTATGCAAAGCCAGTTTCGGATAACAAGGCTCATCCGGCATCTTCCCTTTCATCAGCCTACTCCTTGAACTCCACCTTACACTTCCCCCGTTGAACCTCAAATCAATAAACCCCAAATCCTCGTACTCATTAACGACACACACCGAGTTGCATTCCTCCATTGCAATGGCATCCCTCACACGTTTTTCATCAACGGTTAAAGGAGCACTGATGTCGGACCAAGACCAAACCATTGTCTTCCGTCTGAAATCAAGTAAACTGATGTAACAGTTATCTTTCCTGGGAAACAAAGTGGCGACTAGCAAACAGTTTGTCCCATTTAGCCATTGGAGTTTATCGGCTTCGCCGAGTGACCAACCCGGACTTTCGTAGAAGAAATCAATCTGTTTGCCGGTAACTTGGTCCCAAACTCCGATACCATATTCATTGCTCCTCCCTTTACAACTTGCAAATATATTAAAATCAGGGCTGAAACTCAAAGCACAAGCGGTGTAACTCTTGATTTGATCATCATGGACAACATTAAACTTGTACCTTAAATCACCAGTGTACGAACTAAACAATCCCATACCACCATCTCCTTTCCCCAGCCTTTCACAAGCACTTATCAAGACATTCTCAGCGTTGACCCAACCTATGTCGTTGACCCTCTGGTAATCAAGGTTGAGTGGCGGGTGTTCTTCTAACATCCAATCAAAAACATGGACCATGCTACCGTGAGCCACGCAGCAGCCGCCGTCCGGACCGGCTCGTATGGCGGTTCCATCCCCCGGGGCTCCACCCGTTACTGATTTCGATAGATTTAGCCTGTTACCATCAAAAGGACCAAGCTTTGCCATACGAACATGGTTAATTAACCCATAAAACATGGCTTCTCTGTAAAGAAGCCTTTCGGGGACATTGGGAGGGATGCAGAGATCTCCGTTGCGGAGAAGATCGAGTAGTACGGCGAAACAGTCCGGGTTCCGATCGATGAAGAATTCTTGGTTCTGCTGCTGTCGTAAGTCCCAATCGTCGTCGAATAATGCACCGAAGAACGTATCACGGCCTGCGTTTGCAAGTGTTGTGGCTGTCGTTTCAAAGATTCTTCCACCTACGTTGAACATCACTATGTCATTTTGGATTCCCATGATTTTGAAGAATACCAGATTGAGAAATTGAGGAAAAAATCTTGGATTTTGGTTCGCTCCAAATTTTGGGAACTGGAAGATAAAGAGCGACTAATAATGAAGCAAAAAGAGCAACTTCAATGAGGGGAATTTAATCAAAATTGGGGTCTGGGTATTGAAAAGATAGGAATTTTAAAGCTGGGTTTTGAATTTCATCGGATTTGGTGGAGCAAAATTAAAGAATTTGAGCGTTTGAATTTGAAATCTATTGATTTTTTTTTTTTTTTGCGTTCTCTCTTACATTACTTTCTCCATGTTCTTTCTGCTTCCATGTTCGGTCCGGTTTCCGGACAACGGTTGATCTTAATGCAGACCAACTAATATCTACCGGGGTCCACTTTAATTTATTTTGATTAAACTCAAATCAAATGTCAAAGTCAGATTGAATTTCCAACGATCATCAAACGGTCGTGATTATTTTGATTTCATCCCTCGGACCTCTCAACAACAAAACAATTTCTCATCTCGACCCTAATCCGAACACGCTCGGCTTTGTTTTTCCTCAGTCTATTTTCCGAGATAAAGACAAGCAAGGTAAACTTTTTAACAATGATTCTTTTAAGCTCTTGAATTGTCGTTGGGTTTCCAAGCCCGCGACAATTCCAACAAACGAAACTCATGACGATCGGCAGGGCTGCTCACCAGCTTCCGCCGTTGAATCAATAAAGGCGCCACCTTTGGGAGATGGATCGGGCATTCCATCTAAATTCTCGCTTGAAGAGTTGTGGAGTTAGCCGCCACTGACTGCTCGTTTTGTCTATAAGTCTTTTTGTTTCGCTTCTTACCGCCATGGTTGTCACCACTTTTCCTCTTACCATTATTTGAAAACACCAGCTCAATAATCTGCTTTCTTCCATTCGAGGTAGCTTGGATGGGGAACTCATTGTCCGCACCCTGTTCTTCAACCGGTTCTGATGCTTCCTCAAGCACAATAGTTTTGGAGCCCCTAGGGTCAGGTTGAGGGTGTGATTCACCTGTGCCTCCATCTGGTAGAATGGACCACATCCTAGAGGATCTGAAAGAACTTCCCATAGAAGGATCCTGTTCAGTGGAGGAGAGGTCCTCTTGCTCCACATAGTAAATGCCACCTCTTCGAACCCTCGCAGCACTTGCTTGGTACCAACTCGGTCTAACTCTTAGCCAATTACCGTATTGGAGGAGGTTAGAGTTGTTAACTATAAACGTTGGGCATTCCACAATAACATGCCCCAGCAATCCACATCCATGGCAAAAAGCAGGAAGTCTCTCGTATTTTAGGAGGCACTGTCGGATGCTTCCATCCGTCCTCATTCCTACATTTAGGCACCTTCTGAGGGGCTTTTTAATATCTATTTCCACTTTGATCCTTAAAAACTCTCTAAGTCGACCGTCACCATTCCTCAAATCCACCGCGACAGACCTACCAATGATGTTACTGATCTTCACTCTCGACGTTTGGTTCATGAGACATGGAGAGCCCTATCACTCTCACCCAAATGGGAAGGGGGCTTAAATATTTCTGTATGGTTGATTGTTAGAAGGGGCTTAATTATTTATTTTAGTCCTTCTATTATATTCGAATTGGATATTTAATCCTTTTGTACCGCGCTATATGTTGATTTGGCGTCACGTGGGGTATAGCGCGTCATCTGTACCGCGCTCTACGCTGACATGACTTACACGTGGGTATAGCGCGACCCATGATCCGCGCTCTATATGTTTATTTGACACGTGGCATATAGCGCGGTACAGAGGGCGCGTTATACCTTTAATTACCCCCCAAATCCTCCTTATAAATACCATCATCCTCTATTACTTTCATCACACCATATTCTCTCAAATTCTCTCAAATACTCTCTCTATTTAAGGTATATTTTATAATATTTTTAATATTATATATTTAATTTATTTAAGCATTTTACTTTATTTAATATTTTACTAATATAATTTTTTTGCAGATATATAATGGAAGACGGTCTACTTCGCTTGGATGGAAATCATATATCTCGACACTTTGCTGATACGGTAACATTTTAACGTTTTAATTTAATTTAAATTATTTGTAATAATTTTTTGATTTATTTAATGCATGATTATTAGATTAAGAATTAATTGGTGTAATTATTTAATTTTAAGAGAAAGATTATGTATTAGATCCTTTTTATTAGGAATCTTAAGTTAGTGATACCTAGTTGTGTCTTGTCATATTTAGTAGAGGCTGGATTTGGTTACATATATAGATATCAGGGTCATTGTAAGATAGAACCAGACCTTATTTATGCCTTAGTAGAGCGGTGGAGACCGGAGACCCACACATTCCATCTTTCGTGCGGAAAGTGCATGATTACACTTGAGGATGTTGCTATGCACCTAGGGCTTCCGGTGGATGGAGATGTGATATCAGGGATCTCGTAGGGTTCCTGGACTACTTTGTGCCGGGATAATCTATGACATGTCCCGGAAAGTTTTATCGGAGGTAGGATACCATTAAATTGGTTAGATGCCAATTTTCGGGAGTTGAGCGCAGACGCCTTTGAGGATGAAGTTAAGATGTATGCACGAGCATGCATACTGCAATTGATAGGAGGGTTGTTGATGCCAGACAAATCGCGCAACCTAGTTCACTGTATGTGGTTGCGACATCTTAGCGACTTTCGTCTAGCTGGATCATTCAGTTGGGGCTCGGCAGTTTTGGCTTTGTTGTACAGGGAGATGTGTGGAGCCACTGACTACAGGCATAATGCTATCGGTGGATATCTCCTGCTGCTGCAGTCTTGGGCATGGTATCGATTGCCCTTTTTATGTCCCGTTGTGAAGAACTCATTCGTATTTTCACTACTTCTGAGGTAATTATAAAACTGATTTTGTATATTAATAACTTTATACAGCGTATAATAAATTTTTTCCTTGAATAGATGGTCTACTGATAGGAAAAATCATCAGGAGCTACCTGATGATTTAGAAAAAATTAGGGTGCTAATCGATCAAAAGGCTGACACACATGTATGAATTTTAATGTTTAAAAATCGATTTTAGATTATAGTTATATAATTAGATTATTATTTTGATAAAAATTATATAATATTTGTTTTAGTTTGAATGAGTGCCATATTGTACTGATGATGTGATGGCGGTGATCCCACCTGAGTTGAGGGGCCCATCAGATGTTTGGATGGTGATGGTCCCTCTGATCTGTAATGCGACCATCGAGTGACACTCTACTAATCGCGTGCTCTGGCAGTTTGGTTGTTTTCAACCAATTTCGAAAGCACCTCGCAATATGGACGAGTTGCATAGCTTAGATAGACGCGGCAAGACATATACAGATTGGCTAGTGAGGCATCATGAGTGGGTCGTGTTGTGGGAGGATCGATATCGGCGCCTTCCCCGTAGAGAGCCCATTTTTGATGACCTCTTGATGTTTGTTGACGGTTATTATGAGTGGTTCAACAGTAACGGAAAACCGTTTCTGCTTCCCGATGATACACGAGGGCAGACATTTCCGCGACGTTGATAGAGACGTTCATTGAAACAACACCATCGTCCCCCGACTCATGGACGGAGAGCAGGTGCTTCCAGTTCATCCTCAGCTGCACCAGCAGGACCTTCACAGCAGCCACCGCAGCCATTTATGATGTGCAGCCATATATGATGCCTCCAACACAATATGTGTGAGGACCGTTGTATATTGTTAGTTCCCATATGTTGTTTTTCCTCTTCATTTTCGATATGTGAACCATCCAATTGCATTCGTTTTCGCGTCGGGACAATAACATACATATTTTTCGGTCGTCGATCGATTGACTCTGGACTGAACAGAATTACAGATATTGTAATTTTTTATAGCCATCACCGCTTCTTCTTTGCTTGAAAACTCCATGCCTAAATATATCTCACCATTATTTATTGATGAGTAATATCCATAGTCACCGAGATGAGGCATATCCGCAAATTCTGGCCCGTACATTGCACCATAATCAGCTTCATATATGTGTGTAGGAGGGTCAGTTTGTGCCACATTTACTGGAATTTCATCATCATCGGAGTTGAATTGCGGTGATTATGGGTGAATGAATAGTCCAGTCTCAGCTGTAACACCCCTAACCCGTATCTGACTCGGATACGAGTCCGAAGTGTCACATTGACTTTTCAAACATTTATTCGTATAAAATATTGAGTAATTTAAAAACTTTTATAACATTCAACTTATTCAAAACGTTTACAAAACTATTCAGAGTTTATACAATATATTCTTTTGAATACATGCCAACTAGAACTTTATATATTAAAATACATATTAATCACCTCTTTTCTGATCTGACATTGAGTAAGGAGAACTGACCTGTCTTACTCCACATCGCTCTTTACTCCTCTTCATACATACGTGTAAATCACTTACACGCTAAGTCGTTGACTTAGTGAGGCATATAAAACATATAATAAAACCACAAACCATTTCATATAACATAATGCATACTTATACATATATCATTAATATACTTATCAGTACTCATATCATTATTACTAATTTATTTCTATCATGTATGCATATATTGAACCTTTCTATACTCACCATCGAGTATCCATGTCATTTCACAACAAAGCATATATATAGTATCATAACAAGTTATTTATTATCTTTAAAGCTCTTGCAATAGCCCATGTATAGATTTGAGAACTTAAGATATGTGAGTACATTGAGGTTGTGCACTAATGCTGTCACCACAGCTCATATCAATTCCCTCATGGGGCACCGAACCTTAGTTCAGTATTCGTCCCGAAGGACCAGTCCATAGATCCCGAAGAACCTAGGTAAACAGTCCATATGTCCCGAAGAACATAGGTAAACAGTCCATATGTCCCGAAGAACATAGGTAAACAGTCCATATGTCCCGAAGAACATAGGTAAACCCTCGACCCTTGGCATGCCAACTATACCACTAGCTCTCTTATCACATAACATGTGCATTAACATTCATAACAGTTCAATTTACTTATTCATATCATTTCTCTTATGAACATATATATTTTCTTTTCAGTCACGTACCAAATGTACGTGTAATCATTGATCTTATAATCACATGTTCATTCTCTTCGGTCACATACCATATGTATGTGTAAACATATATCTAATATCATATAACACGCATCACAAATGCATGTATTCACATAAATCATTTCTTATAGCTTTATTCATATCACATATTCATATAAGCTCATATCTTATTTCACATATACTTTCCATATAACTTATATATATCTCATAATCACACAAATCATAACATTGATCACCAATCA